AAAAAAAAAAAAAAAAAAAAAAAAAAAAAAAAAAAAAAAAAAAAAAAAAAAAGATACCTATGTTCTTCTTCGGTCCATGGCGTCCCCTTCTTCCTCTCGCTGTCCCCACCAGGCTTAGCCTTGGATCCAAAAGAGATCTGTCCAGAAGAGTCCCATTCCGGCGAACCCACTGCCGATTCATCAGAATAACTCGGCAACTCAACTCGACCAGAGTCAATTTCCAGGACGTCATAAACCAGAGCCTCATAGTGATCTTTAACCTCCCTCGGCAACTTTCCAGGGACAAGGTCAGCGACCCTTTGCCACCGATCAGGCAAGTCCGCTGGTACCACCACCAAAGCCTCCTCGAAAAGCTTGTCCTCCGACCGAGTCCACTGAGTCGAAGACTGAGTCATGGTCGTCCACCGACTGTCGTGAAACATAACAACCATAAAACAGAGAAAGATGAAGAAACAGAGAAACAGAGAGAGGATTTGATGGAGGTTTTTCTATTCTTTTTTACTGAAATGAATCAGTTTCTTGGAGATTGCACATGGAAGGATTGGGGAAATTGTGGGTTCGTAAATTTGAATATATAGCACTTCGCACGGAGAGAAACAATGGATTGGATATTGAGAAATTATGGGAATTTGGGTTTAAAGAAATAAAAAGGAGAGAATTTGAAATCAACACGTTGTTTGGTATAATTGGGTTTGTTTCCAAATTGGATTTTACTCTGTCGGCTTCATTCTTAGCTCTTCTACACTTGTTTGATTCTATAAAAAATTATGTCTTCTTTTACATCTATTATAAATATAAATTTGTATTTTTTTTTTTTTTTTTTTTTTTTTTTTTTTACATTTGAGTTTTNTAAATGTAATCCACTCCCCTACTACAAATAGTCGAATCTAACTCAACTTTGTCACTCTTCTTTCGTTTCTCGTAGGCACCTTATGTGATTTTATTATGTTTTTTGCACTCAATTGGATTAACGGTTGAACCTCAAAGAACTTTGATTCTCCCGACCAACAGGTGGGGGATGTGCTTGTCTATTGTTGGTTGGGGATGTGCTTGTCTAATATGTTAATACTATCAAGTAAGTGACTCTTCTAGACAGGTTGTTGAAAGTGGCGTTTTCGTGTAACAATTACATTCTTGGGCGAGCCATGGAGGTGGAAGCTTTCCACGTCCCCCATCACCACTTCCTATTTCAATATTTATCTCTACGAAATTCTCTATTTATTTTTGCTAGAATCAGGTTTTCACGTTTTATATCTTTAACCTATGTTTTTTGAAAAATATATTAGTTTCAAATAATTTGATATTTTATATAAAACATATATTAGTTTCTTTATAAAATGAAATAAGTCTCGTTTTATTAACGAGGATAAATTATTTGTCCCATTCGAGAAAAGACACTCAATGGATGGACATATCTATTCAATATTCTACGAGATAGTGATTAGTTTTCGCTACTCTAAATCCAACCCTCGCTGGATTAGATTAGATTTTAATAATATTATTTATGGGAGTAACTAAATATTTTTAAAAAAATTATAATATAAAGATTAAATTTTAATATATTAAAATGTAAAAATTAATTTTCTCAATATATATATATATATACACACGTGAATTAAATATTGTTACTTTTTA